TTAGTTGAAAATATGTAGTTTTCTTGTAATTATTTTAAACAAATCAATTTGTCATGTTCTTTTACCTTAAAGGTTATCTCTATGGTAAATTACTAAACCTTAAAAACAAAATTTATCTTATTAATCTCCAAAGCATGAAGAAATACTGCTGGTGATCAGTTAAGTGGCATACTGAGTTGAGCTGAAGAGTCTAGGGTAAAAAAAAATCATTTTTTCTTTATCACCAGATAATAGAAAGTATACTGCTATAAGGTTAAGATTACCTAGTTATGCAAACTGTATGTATTATTTGAATTGTTATTTTATACATGTAATACTTATATTAAGATTAATTGGACCAAGGGGTTAAAATATTCTGACCTCACACACGCAACTAATTAAATAATAATGTGGCTGCAACTTTCACTCAATTAAAATTAAAATAATCATCATGTGCCTGGATATAAATTTTATTACTAAAATAATTTTTAAAAACCATATTAATGGAACCTTCTACCCAGATCATGATAAATACCTTAGGCCTCAGAGTCAAAAGCCGCATTTTGCTCTAATTAAATTCATTAGAAGACATGACAACTATAGTTGAAAAAGCACTGGAATTTGTCTTATATTATCTGACTTCAAGTCCCCAGCTCTGTCACTGAGAACTATGAGTCCCCAGGCAAGATATTTAAGCTTTCTAAGGTTTAGATTTTCTTATATAAAATAAGGAATTTAAGTTAAATGATATATGGTCCCCTTTTATCTGTAACATACTGTAATTTAACAAAATCTACCTTAAGACCACGTTAGCAAGAAAATTACATAGAAGACATCTTTCTTACTGATTTTTTAAATAAAGTTTATATACAAGAATGATTAAACCAATTGCAGATGGTAGAATGAATGCTTCAGGTAGTATATACCATGTTGAGGAAATAATTTCCACTTATCTACACAGAGAACTGAGAACCTGAAAGGACTTACAGCAAAGAACTCCTTATTAGAAAAGTCTTTAAGACATGAATTAGAAGAAAATGTATGACTAATCATATAGGCAGACTCAGTTTAACAACTGTTAAATGAGGCTAATATTTGCTCAATTTACTTTAAAATTTCAGAGGATCAACTATTACATATAAAATGCTTCATAACCTACAGAAATAAAAAATATTACTTTCCAAGACATGCAGGCAAATTCCACTAACCTTTCCTAAGTGGCAAAAACTAGCAAATTTTGCAGCTTACAAAAATACAAGAGAAAGATGATATTCAGAGGGGTGAATATTGTACCAGAGAGCAAATACTGTTGAAATAAGCACTCAAGGTGATGGATAGAACCAAGTCAAAAAAGTACTTTAATATTCCTGAACTCTTAAAAAGCCAATCTCTCCATGCAAAATTTATTTGGCACACACTGTTGATTCCGTTATGAGTTGCTTATATTTTGCAACTATGAGTTGCTTATATTTTGCAACTTCAAAACCTGCATGATGATAAGACTTGAAATGGTATCTTTATCTAACACTGTAAGTGATGAGAAATAATTATTTTATTTAAAATAGTTGTGACATTTTAAAATGCATACATTTAAGAACTGTGAGAGAACATTTTCAAAGAAATTTTGGAAATTAAGAACCGTTCTGGCCTCCCTTGTGGCATGTCTATCTCCTTACTGCTGGTAAGTCTTATATTTTATCATCGTTCATTTGATTCCTTTAATGCTCAACAAACCTTTCCTTTGAAGCACAAAATATGTTATATCACTTTCTTCCCAGTATCCTTTCTAAAATCGAATTACTTTCAAATCAATATTCTCCAGTGTCTCACAAGATTTACCCTTTTCAGCTCATCCTAGAAGAGTTTTTGTCTTAACCTAGTCAATGCCTACCCAACTCAACACACAACCTTCATCTTTCACAGCATTTTAGTCACCTGCACTCTAGTTTGGCAAAACTACTGCCTAAACAACCAACTCTGGACTTTAAAACACTCAAGTTTCCTCTTTAACCATAGAATTCTACTTCCTACCTTTCTCTAAGTTACTATCTTGATCTCAAAGTGACTTGCTTTTCTTAATAAGTTCATTCCTGGCTGCGTGTCCCTTCCTACCCAGTCTGAACACGACCCATGATTTATACTAGGAATTATCCTCAAATCCCTTGCTTCACGGCCAAATGTTTGGAAAATGGTAGATTAAACTAAGTTAAATGGGTTCTCTTAGAGCAGAACTCCCTTAGTCTTAAAGAGACAATATATTGTTATTTCCCCAAATTTATTTTATCAGAAATCCTTTGTACTCCCAAGAACAATGTCCTCCACCAGTGTCCTGAGGAGCACATTTTTTGAAACACTAACTTACATTTTCTGCTTAGTCCTTCCCTACCTCTCATTCACTTGCTGTCTAAATTGCAGGGAGACATTATCAGACCAAGCACTGTATTGAAATACAACCATTCTGCCAGGCACGGTGGCTCACACCTGTAATCCCAGCCC